ATTATTGGGTAGTTGGGTAGTGTAGGCATAGCATCTGGAATCGTATCAGGAACTTCTGAAGTAGAAGGCAAAAGTTGAGGAGTTTTTATGATGCTAATCTCCTCATCTCAGTCACCGCCTCACTTTCCTTCTTCATGTTGTGTTGAGTTACTATTCACACCTACAGAATCTATGTGCGTATCGATTGGTAAAGCAAGCTGCTCGAGTCGAAACTGATTGAGTCTGAGCTGATTCTTGTCTTGGAGTACCGAACATGCGACATAACATAACAAATTGCATCGCTGCCCATTCCTCAATATTTTGCATTAGATGATAGTGATGATGATGATGATAATGATTATTATTATTTTATTATTGTTAGTTTGATAAGGGACTAATATATTGACGAACATATCTAATGAGTTCAACGTCACTGCCGCTGAAGTTACTACCTACTCTTGTAGTACTCCATCTTTCATTATCATTTACGAATACTTACCAACTTTGACTAACATCGCTTGTTGAAAAGAAATATTATTAGATGTCAGTGAACCAGGCTTTTTGAATTGAGTTGAAAGACCTTGACTGTTGGTTCCTGAAATATTATTCATGTTGTTGGAAACGGATTCTTAAATAAAGACATTTTTAAAACCTTTGTTCTTGTTCGATATTTATTAATTATTACCGCACGAAATTTAATCGTTTTAGTGTCAGAAAAATTTTTTTATTTTGAGATAACTTTCAATTAATTTATATATACACGAATTTTTTCTTGTAATTCGCGTCAATTAATATAGTACATTTTTTCTTAAATCGTAATTTTACTATCTCCGGTGGTGATTCAATGTAACAATAGCAAAAAAATGCCTATAGGTAGATTTTTATGTTTACGCTGAGTATTCAGTTTGGATTTATTTACTTTTTTGTCAATTACATAAAATTAGACTATAACAAACCGCAATTTCGCAGACCTGCGATCTAGGAATCAGAGGTCGAAAGTCAACTTTATAACAAATTATATTCAATTCTCAACTTTTATTATAGTTAATAATTTATTAGTATAGCTATTTGGTTGAAATGAAACTCATTATCGTTATTATTAACGTTAAGTGTTAAATTCAACATTTGTTGTGTTGTTCGTACAAGATTATGATTATCTTTCCAATTTAATTGAATGACCAATCCAAATGGCGAAAATAAAAGTTACTGATCATGTGATTTTTTAGGGGGTAACCAGTCAAATAACAAGATCAACGTGTAAAGGAAAAATTCAAAACAAATGTAAACAAACGTAACTCTGATAAAAAATGTTGCTATAAACATTTTGCTTATACGAGATGTCAAAAAGAAATCGTTTAAAAGGGCAGTATAACGAAGATATGGATATTATCCCTGCCAACTGCTGAAGAACATCAGATAAATGCTACATCAGTTATCTATCAAGGGATGAAAGGTCGTTATATGAACATGTATAGGGTCGATAACAACACATCTGCCATCCGCCTCGCTGAATGGAAGAGAAGCGAAAAAACTCGAACCGCATATGAAAATCTCTTTCACAACGATAAATTGCTACGAAACTAAATAATTTATCATTCGCTCTCAAAGTTTTGGAGTCCTATGATCACTATCAATTTCAATATGATTAGTGACTACCATTGGAACGAGCATGATGAATCGAATTGGGCGATTTTGATGGAGGTAATGGAGGTGAATTATGTTTCCCCCAACTTCAAATCATAATACTTTGTCCAGGGCAAGTGGTTGTTTTTTTTCTCTTGACTCTTATTACATGGCAATCTTCCTATCACAAAAATATCTAAAGAGGTTTTTTTTAAGAAAAAACTTCAAATTTTTATAATTTTAACATTAAACATTTTATTGATATGAGAGAAAGCACATTGTTTATGATAATATTGTTACAAGACAATTACCGCAGCCTTTATTTAGCATTGCCAAAGAATATGGCTCTGATTCCGAATACAGTATATGGAATTTTAGATAAAAAATGACTGAATCTTCTACTCAACGTGATCCTAAAAAATCGGGACTCGGCATAGCATTGTATATCTCGTACATGGATTTTTTCCTCATCTGCGAGATTTCAGTGAAGTATATATCGATCTAAAAGATGGAATTGAACGAGACACGAACTGATTGGTTATGATCCCCGACAAGATCTTAATATGCTCGCAGATTAAATCACCTACTTGACAAGCCAAAAGCGAATCAGATAAGAGTTCCACCTACATCTACCGATTGTAGGCGTGGGCATATAGGCAAGTAATTTCACTATACAATGTTGATGAGTAAAAAGTCTAACAGAGCTAACAATAATTGAAAATTATATTTAGATTTGCGTGCAAGACACGGTTTAAAGGCTGAGGCTGTGGAACCGGGAAAGAACTATAAATATGCTTGAAATGGGATAAGTCGTTTCAAAAAATTACAAACCTAGAAGGACGTCTTATTCATCTGAAATTAATCTAATGGATTCTGGGAGTGAAATTTCTGTGTCTTGAGCATTTAGATAGTGTTAGTGATGTTTCTAGTGTAAGGTCTGTTAACCTTCGTAGTGGGCGTAAATACATGTAATAATTTCAATTATATTATAATATTTCTTGGAAATGCAAATCATTCAGTTTTCAATCCATCGTCACCTTTGTCGTCACCGAAGATAGATTTGATAAGGTCATCAAGTTTCTCAGCAGTTGGCCTGTTTTCTGGAATAGGATCCCAACATTTTTCAATAATAAATATGCATCATCCGGAGAGATTAGACATTTATAAAGAAGTACGACCTATAATACCATAACCATTCCGAAGTTATAAATATTTGCAGCATTAGTGTATGGCTTTCCGGACTCATTTAAGGAAGCACTCCACAAATTTCTTTCTATATTTTGTTGGAATGGTAAGTCCGAAATCAGCAATTTGAGGCGTATTACTCATTAATAATATATTTCCCAGGATGAAAATCACTCCAAATTAATTTTTTGTAGTTGGCATTTAAATGCCTTGCATAAGTCATTACTACTATTGAGTATTCATTCATAGTTGCGGTTTATAAACTCCAGAGCAATTTGCTTTGAATTGTAAATAGTTGGTAAATCTTACTTTATTAATTTTGTTGCATTCTTTCTTTATTTCCATTCCACTAGTCAATTCATCCTCGTCGTTATAAATTAGATTTTGATATCTTCATCAATGACATCGTCTTGTGAAACAGAAGTCGGTATAATTGTCGTATTATTTATTAACTTATTACATTTAACCTCAGCAAGAGTCTTGTGTCAAAATTGCATTAAATGACAATAAACAGATTAATACGCATGTATTTCGCACCTACTTATTACATGTACTCGCACAGCCACCTAAATGATGATAAATTAAAAACCGGTTAATAACTGGTCTAATCCGGTTATAAACCGATTAACCCGGTTATAAATCCGATATCGATAAACGGTTCCAATCTTTGTTCCAGCTAAGGTAAATTATTAACCAAGTCACAAGTCCCTATTGCTCATCCCATTCAAGAAAATACTATCAAAACAGAACGTGATCAAATTATTAACAAGTTTAACTACGTATGTCGCTAATTCTCCAAAGTTGGACCTATATTTTAGTATTGATAAAGAAGGTGAACATCAAATTGAGTTCTCGGTTTACATTGTCCACTATGCCGAGAAAATCATGAGAGTTTGCAAGGTAAGTGTGCTAAATAATTGAGGAAATGAACATTATAATTTGCATTGTGATAAAATCAAAGACCCAGGAATCCCACTCAATGAGGTATTAGAAGCGTATTCTGAAAATGCAGAACTGATTTCGGGAGTTAAAGACTAAATGCTTCACATTACCTATTCCTTGGAACAATGTTCTTAAATTTTTGGGTAAAAGTATAACAAATACAAGCATGATTATAGATAGGTCTCTACAGATATGTATCATAGGTACAAAACATTATTTCTATTATGGATTGATGAGCTCAGCTCTCCAAATAATGAGAATACTTCATATCAGGCAATTACATATTTGATAGTTAATTATCTTTTTTGATCCCGGACTTAATCTCACTAAAATTGAATCTCGCTTTGGATAAAAAAATTTGAATCCGATTTTAATGTAGTATAACTTGATAAAATCGTTTATAAACCACTTTAATTTTATAATTCCTATGATGCAATCCATTTTAAATTAAAAATGTTTGTATTTCATAGACTTCTTAATTAGAAGTAAATTCAAAATATAATCCATGAATATGATAAAATAAGTTTTTCTTTATCAAGTTTATGGATAAAATTTTGAATTTATTTCTTAATTAAGAAGCTATTGCAATTTCTAAAATATAAATATTTTTGATTTAAGATGAATTGCACCATATAGAAGTTTTAATTTATTAAAATACTAATATGTCAAGTCTTAATATCTCAACCATTTTCGATAAAAAAGTTAAATTGCAAAAAATCATTAATAATCGTCCGGGATATATAATATGAAATATTTTATTTCGCTTGCTTCGAATTATTGTGGTATTGCAGTAAACAATTAGAAAGACTCTTTGAGACCGAAAGATAATATGATACACCTAATGTTATTCCACCAAATATGACTCCGGAACAATGGGCAATGAGGGTTCGTATTCCTTTACAAAAATTAATTCGTGAACTAAAATTTAGCGTGTACCATAAATACTGTTTATTTGGAAATAGCTAGTTAGTAGATTATAATCATTACAGATCTAAAGTCCATAGACAATTTGCTATAACTGTTGGCAATTATTTATAGTTAAAGATGTAAAGCCAAAGAAAAAAATTCTCTATGCTAAGCACCGGATATATTGAAATTATTCAACCAAGCGATTTGATGCAATATGAGTGTGAAAAATTTAAAACGTCCAATTTTAGTGCACATCTTATACGAAATGCTTATCGGAATTATAAGAAAGACCTATGTCATTGGCAAACCAAGTTTGGAATGCAAGAAATGATAACACTCCTAAAGAAAAGAAATTTCTAGAGATGCTGAATCCTGATTATAAATATCTCGTATATATGAGAATATCTGTTCGAAACATTATTGTGTTGATACTTCGCCAAAATTATGGAGATAATTGTGAGTTTTTGAAGGATAAGTTAATCGCACTTACTTTTGTATATATATTCTGAAATTTTATTATTACAAAGAACATGTAATGGCACTTGCGTGCCTCAATATTTACTTGCAGAGTAAGGACACTTTAGTTGCTGAGTCTTCGATTTTCTAAAGATGTTATTTGCGAGTTAGCATTCTAGACTTTTATTATGATATTCCCAAGAGCTTGTATCTTTTCTGTCAATATATATTTTATAGATTATCAAACTTTAATGGCTGGTTCCCAACCCTTCCGAAGATATAGAGGGTCCTCTTTTGCTTTAGTCAAATCAAAGCCAATAAACTCCCGGACTTGTAAATCAAGTACATGTATATCAAAGGTATTGCGTCATATCGCTGGGTAATACATTATCGTTATCGTTATTGATGTCCCTCAGTAAAATAACGAGCAGTCTTTACTTGTATTTTTAGGTTCGGTAATAAATCTTCAGCACAGAAATCTTCAAACTTTGGTTTTTTCAGGTTTTATTTATTGGAATGTAATATCTTCCCGGTAAGACTTTGGACCGTTTTGCAATTAATTTATAACAATCTCGAAGATATCGGTATTTTGGCACATTAAGATGATAACCTATCAAACTAAATCATCTTTTTTTAAACATTCAATACATCTTATTCACAAGTAAAAGATTTAATAATCATATTAGTTTTTCCTGAACTGAATCATCCACTGACTAAGATATTGAATGCAATTGGGGCGTTAAATTTAATCTATTAAATCTTTCTGGATTTTTGTCTTCATCAATATAAAGCACAAATAATTCGCATTGATCAATTTTTTCAATTTTCATCTTAATTAAAATTTTTATAAATGTCAAGAAACATTAACTATTGTACCAAGAAATTATTCTTTACATGATAAATATCTCTTTTCTATTAATGTATGCTGGATATAGGAGCAAATCACAACTTCAATAAGATCTATACCTTCACTCCTACTTTTTTTGATCACACACCCTCTGTTCGTTTAAATCTATTCGCCAGAACATTATATTCTCATTATAATGCTGTATGCCTTGGTATTCCCATGCCAATTTTACCTCGTTATATGAATCGAGCCATAGTCCATCTAAAATGAATCTGAACATGGATGAAATTTCTTGTCTAATAAATGTATCTACAATTACAAGTGTGTGACTCCATTCGAACCTTGTTATAATTAATATAATTAATGAGTTTATTTATTAAATATGAATAGAAAATAATTAGTTTTTTATATAATTCTAATTAGAATTTTTAAATATAATCATGTATAAATAAACATAAATAAAATATAAAATACTTATAAAAACTTATAAACTAATATTTTCTTAAAAATATTTATTTTAAAAGCTGATTATAAATTAGAAAATCCTTGCTTTTTATTTATTAAAAAATAAAGTTTCATTAAAAAATTATAAGTAAAAAGTTATTCAAATTTTAAAATAACTTTTTGCTTACTTTTTTATTGAAAATTGTCTTTTGATAAAATATAAAAAATAAAAGTCTTCTAGTATTATAAAAAGTTCTAATTTTAATTAGAATTAATTTAATTATATAAAAAATAATTATCTCAATTCTTTTATAAAATATTAGATTCTATCAAGAATTTATTTTTTAAAGCTCAATAAAATTATAACTAAAAATTATTTTTCAAATTATTATATAAAAATCCTATTATATGTATTATATATGCTATTATTATGATGCTATTTTTATATTAAGCCAATTAAAATATATTCATATAATTAATTATTGACTAATAGAAAAATATAAGATGTATTAATCAATAAAATATATTATATAACAAAAATTTTATTTATATAAATTTTTATAAACTTTTAAAAATATTTAATTTTTATAAATTTTTTCTATTATATAAAGAAATACAACTGAAAAATTTAAAATAATAATATAAAAAATATAATTATAAAGAGATATAAATATAAAAAGATCTAATTATAATTATAAGAAATACAATTATAATTATTTTCATAATTATAAAATTAAAAGATTAATTTTTGTAATAATTTTGATTGAGTTATCTCTCTTTGGATCTCTTTTAGTTTAGATCTTTATTTTGCATTATTTATATAACAGATTAGTTTTATATTATATTTTCAAGAAGATCAATTTCACTCTGAATATACAGATAATTATTATGTATTTAATATATCTAGATTTAGTATATTGTTACTCAAATGATTACTATATATATCATAATTATTAATTTAGATTATTAATATTTTTAATTACTTTTATTATTAATTTTTTTTATAATTTTATTCATTTTTCTTATTATTATATCATTATTAATTATTAAATTATGATTAGTTATCCTCTAGAAATATAAATTAAGTTAATTAATTCTGTTCAACCATATATATTTTAAATAGATTTCATTATTAATTTATTTGCTTTTATATTTATTTCTTTCACTATAAATAAAACCTCTTTGTTCTGTAATTTTCTCTCAAATCTGAATATTTTAAATAATAAAAATAATTATAAGTTATAAAATTAAAACTATTTATATTATATTTTATCTTATTTATAATTATTAATAAAATAATCTTATAACTTGATAGTAATGGATATAATTATTATAAATACTATACTCTAATATCTTAAATATTATATATTATATATTATATATTATATATTATATATTATATATATTACACACACATATATTTTAGTTTTAGAAAATTAATATCTTAACAAAACAATTTGTTTAATTTATGCAGAATATAACTGAACTTATCAAAATAGTTAAAAAAAATAATTCTTCTGATCCTAAGTCTTTATTTTACCTTTTAGTTAAACTATCTTCTTATTCTGAAGAACTAAATAAAAATATACTTATCTGAATTATGCAAGTTAAAACTATATTTCAGGCTCAAGAAATTACAGATAAGAAAACTCAAATATAATATGTCATCATCTTCTTAACTGATACAGCTTTATATTGGTATCTTAATAAAGTAAAGATAGATAATAATATTTCATCTTTTGAAAATTGGCAAGCTTTTGTTATAGTATCAAGAGAAGTCTTTTAATCATCATATTATTAATAACATCTTCACAGATAACTATATCTTCTTTACTAAACTAGATCTGTTCAAGATTATAGTACTAAATTCAGAAAAATAATTAAATAAATTATAAATATAAGTACTTTAGATTAGTTCATATATTTTATAGAAAGTCTAAAACTAGTTATAAAGATGAAGATAAGCTATTAGGTATCAGAAATATTAAAAGATACTTGAAAATTAGCCATTTACTATAATACTATTATGTGTAGTCATGATAAATCTCTAGAAATATCAAATAGATAGAATAATAATTATTACACTCAGAATTAATATACAAATTATCAAAATAATAATTCTATACCTATGAAATTAAATCAAGCAGAATCATATTATAATAATAGAAAGAATAATAATAATTAGAAAAATAATAAATCAAAAGATACATATTATAACTGTGATAAACTAGATTACTTTATAAAGAATTATTATTCTAAATCAAAGGTAAAAATTGCAAATATAGAAAATAAATAAGAAGAATATTCTTAATTTTATAAGAGAGTTAAATTTATTCATCTTAAAGATAATAAAAAAAGATTATTGAATTTAATAGCCAAATAAATGGTTATTAATGAGAAATTTATCCAGAAGAATAAAGTTAAGTTACAAAGATAATACCAATCACAGTAGAACTTGCAGATAATAAAAAAATTACTGTTACTATCATGATAAAGATTAATGAGTTTAAATTAAATATCTATAAAATATATAAGATAAATGCATAAGTATTAAAATTGCAAAGATATAACCTTATTCTAGGTAAATCTTGATTGTTTTATATCAATTCAATTATAAATTGGAGAAATAATATTATCATCTTTACTTATAAATCAAAGATAAATAAAAATACAAGTTAATAATAAAGTAAAGTTAGGTTCTATTTATAATTTAATCTATATTTCAAGATAATAAATTATTAATTTGCCAGCAGATGCAAAACTCTTCACTATATATCTTAATAATACTAAAGATAAAGAAGAAGCAAAAGAAAAATCACTTTTACCAGAAGTATTAAATATTAAAAGAAGATATAAAGATATATTTCTAGAAATCTTATCAAATCAACTATTATCTAAAAGAGTAATTAATCATAAAATTAACCTCATTTCAGAATCTAAATCACTATTCAGATCCATTTACAGGCTTTCTTTCACAAAAATAGATGAGTTCAAGAAATAATTAACTAATTTAATACAGAAAGATTTTATTCATCCAAGTATTTTACTATTTGAAGCACTAGTTCTTTTTATATATAAAAAAAGATATATTAAGATTATGTATTAATTATAGAGCTTTAAACAAAATTACTATTAAGAATTACTATTTACTATTCAGAGTTTATGAGTTAATAAACAGACTTATAGACTTAAAATACTTTTCAAAGCTAGATTTATATTCAGAATATTATTAAATTCATATTGCAAAAGAAGACATATATAAGATAGCATTTAGAACTTATTATAGATACTACAAACTCTTGATTCTATTCTTTAGTCTTATCAATATATCAGTTATCTTTATAATATTTATAAATAATATATTTTATAATTATCTTGACAAATTTGTAATCATATATCTAAATGATATTTTAATATATAGTAAAATAAAAAAAATATATTCAATATCTTCAAATAGTATTAGAAATACTTTGCAAATATAAATTATATACCAAGTAAAAGAAGTGTAATATTATATAATAATATATAGAATATCTTAAATATTTCATCTTAGTAAATAATATTTCTATTGATCAAAGAAAAATTATTACTATTAAAGATTGATTAATACCAATCAATATCTTAGAACTTTATTTATTTCTAGATCTTGCAAGTTATTATAGAAAATTTGTAAAAGATCTTTTAGCAATAGCATCATTACTCATAATACTCCTATTATAACAATTTTGATTGGGTTATCTTCCTTTAGATCTCTTTTAGTTTAGATCTTTATTTTGCGCTATCTGTATAACA